CAGGTTAACTCTGAAGTTTTTATTTCTTCATTCAAAAAATAAGTCCTGAAATTCTACTGTGTGCTAGGCGTGGGTCCTGTTGCTAGGACTGTATAGAAGAGCAAACAGTCTAAAATCCTTCTTGTGGGGCTTATATTCAAGAGAGAGTAAATAAATGTGAAATACAATATAGTGAATGCTACGAAGAAAAGCACAGTGTCATGAGGCATTGGGGAACTCTGGGGTGGCCAGGGAAGGCCTTTCTAAAGCAATGACAGTGTTTAGAGACTTGAGTGAAAGGAAAGAGTGAACCAGGCTTGTGAAAAATCCTCTTTCCTTCCTCGCTTTCTGTCTTTCACTCATTAGTTTTTCTCTCAGAAATGGAACCAAACTGTACACTTTTGAAACTTGTTTTCCTCAATTCATGGTGTAATGTAGACTTTGTTCCATGATAGTGTATCAAACCCACCTTCATTCTTTTTAATACTGCATGAAATTCCGTATTTTCCATGGCTATAGTTACATATACACACACATATACATCTATAGCCACTGGATGTGTGTGTGTGTGTGTGTGTGTTCATTGCTGTGTCAAAATACTCTGAATAGAAGCAAATTAAAGAAGAAAGGATTTATTTTGGCTCATGGTTTCAGGAGTTTCCATCCATGGTCACTTGAGTCCTTGTCTCTGGGCGTAGTGAGGCAGAACATCATTGCAGTTGTTCTTACTTCATGGCAGCCAGGAAAAAGAGAGAAGGATACAGGAAGGGCCAGAGCAAGGTATAGTCCCCAAGGACAGGGCCCCGCTGACCTACTTTCTCCAGCTAGGCCCCAGCTCCTAATGTTTCCTAGGCTTCAACACATGAGCCTATGGGAGCCATTTCCTATTCAAACCATAATAAAACCATGTATAGATGTATATGTGTCTTTCTCGTGGTATTGGGGTTGAACTCAGATATTTGTGCTTGCTAGGCAAGTGCTACTCCACTTGAGCAATACCTCCAGCCTTTTTTGATTTTAGGCTATCTTTTGGATACAGTCTCATGTTTTTGCCAGGGGCTGGTCTGGACTCCAATTTACTTGCCTACAGCCTCCCATATAACTGGGAGCACAGGCACATACACCATGCCTGGCTTATTAGCTGAGATGGGGGTCTTGCTAACTTTTTGCCAGGGTTGGCTTCAAACTGCAATCTTCCTGATCTCTGCCTCCCAAGTAGCAGGGATTACAGATGTGAACTACTGATCCCAGCCAGTACATATGTATCTTTTTTTTTTTTTTTGGTGGGACTAGGGTTTGAATTCAGGGCTTTGCACTTACAAAGCAGGTGCTCTATTGCTTGAGCCATGCCTCCAGTCCATTTTGCTCTAGTTATTTTGGAGATGGGGGTCTTTCAAACCGTTTACCCAAGCTGGCCTCAAGCCTTAATCCTCCCAATCTCAGCCTCCTAAGTAGCTAGGATTACAGGCATGAGCCACTGGTACCTATCATACATACATACTTATATATATTTGTGGTACTGGGACTAGAACTCAGGGCCTACACCTTAAACCACTCAACCAGACCTTTGTTTGAGATGGTTTTTTCCAAGATAGGATCTTGTGAACTATTTGCCAGGGCTGGCCTTGAACCTCGATCCTCCTGATCTCTGCCTCCTGAATAGCTAGGATTACAGGCATGGGCCACTACACCCAGCCTTATCTTATATATCTTAATGGGATTATATCGTAGGTACTTTTGTGGCCGCTGAGGTGTGGAGCAGAAACCTGAGTAGTCCATTTTAGGAACAATAACTATGATACAGTGACACGACTCAAGAACCAAGAAATCTGTTGAGCTATATTTCATACGTTACATAGTTTTCTTTATAAGTGTTAAGGAGCCCTGACTCCCTTCATCTTTTTCTCTTCTTGATTCTCCTTGTGTTATTCCCTCTTTATCCTTCCTTCTACACGTCCATTCTTTGCATCTGCCCAGGTCCCATGGGGCCACAGTTTAGAGGCATGGCTAATTTCGTCTTGCTGCTCTTGGGGTATCTTTGTTTTAAGGACATGGAAGGCTATGCTTAAACCAAAAGACCCTCTCAAACTGAGTGTGGCATTTGCTTTGGCATATGGATTGGAATGGGTGGCCTTCCAATAGCAGTGCTTGCCCAGAGGGTCACCAGAGAGTGGTCAAGCTGCCACCCTGTCTTTCTCCTGGACTGTTTTTTCCCCTAAGTATGTTGTATTCATTCATGACTATTCATTCATGCAACCATTGACTTATTCAGTCATTCAGTATTTGAGGTTTTCTATATCAGGCTTTGTGTTTTAGTTAGTAAAGATGACAGGTTTTTACCTTCATGAAGTTAGTAGTTAGAGGAAGAGGGTGGGAGGGGGAGAAAGACCTAACCAACCAACAAACAAACAAACAAAAAAACCCCAAACACATAAGCAATAGTATAATTTTCATGATTTACATGCCTAAGAGAAAAATGCCCCCGGAGGGAGCTAATTTAAATTAAGGACAGGGCGCCAGGGTAAACCTCTTTAAGGAAGGAAGTCTAGGCTGAGCTTTGAGTGGCAAACACAGGTTACTGTCTAGGGAATGGCTGGGGGTGGGGGACAGACCTGGGCAGCAGAGGTCTACCTGGGCTGGACCCAAGGTCTGCTGGAACAGGATGCATCAGAGGGACCAAGACTGGCCAGTGAGACTGGAGCCTGGCAAGCTGGAGGGGAAGGCAGGAGGTTGGGAGGTGGTCTGGCATCAGATAATACCATGAATGGATTCTAAGTGTTTGGGAAGCTATTCAAAGGTCATGAACAGTGAAATGACGTAGTCCCATGCAAGCTTTGAAAAGATCTTTTGGAGGGGGTCATAGTGGAGCTGGCCCAGGTGGGAGGCCATTGCGGTAACCCAAGAAATAAGTGAGGAAGATGGTGGCAGAGGGGAGGGAGAGAAGGTTATAGGTTAAAGGGATAGATTCTTGTTCACAGTTATCATCAAAGAAGTTGGAAGGACATCTTCAGGTCATTTCATCCAGGCAGGACCATGCTGACAGTGCAGCCACCTGGAACTTAATGTTAATCCACTTACTGTTCATGAAAAAGAAAGTGAAGGAGACCTAGGCCTTTCCATTCAGCTACGTTCCTCCCTGGGAGAAGAAGACTTGGGCTGGGCTTCTCACAGCACAAGGAAGTTGCTCAGATTTGGAGAAGGTAGTTGGAAGAGGTAGGCATGGAGAGTGATAATGATCTTACGCTTCTTTGGGCTTTTAATGGGGCCAGCTGTGGCTTTATCCTCTTATTGCATCGAATCTATGCTTGAGCACTTGGTGATGGGTACCTCAACCACACCATCATCAAAAGAGAAAAGTCTGATGGTGAGGTGGAGTACTTTGTTCAAAGTGACACAGGCAGGTGTGTCTCAGTCGAGAGCCTATGTTCTTAACCACTGTGCTATTCTCTCAGCCCATGGGAAGGTAGGCATAGAGCATCAGCATTCAGGGATGATGGAGTTTTTTTAAACTATTTTTTTTTGCATGCATTCCAACTACTTGTGCTTCCTTCTCCCCTGTTTATTTGTCTGCTGGCTATCAGGATACATTGGGCAGAACTCAGACCCAGAGAAAATAGTGTCCTCTGAGTCAGAAAGAGGAAAGGCTTTCAGATGGACAGAATGGCTTTCAGCTGGGGCTCTGATACAGTAGGCTCAATTCTCATCACTGCTTTCTGAAGATATAAGACACTGACAGAATTAGCACCAAAATTGGGAGCAGATTCTCCTCAGAGATACAATTATGGCAAGGAAAGACATTTTCCAATTTTGGTGAAAGACTTCCTATGCGGGAATAATTCATGGGTCCTGAAAATGAAGTTCAATGTTTGGTTCTCTCTAGAAGCTCTCTAAATTTAGGCTGTAGGATTCGCTTAGTCCTAAGGGTGTGCACATGTGTGCATGCGTGTGTGTACACGTGCATGTGTAAGAGGGAGGGAGAACTGTACATATTTCATTTGTGATGAGTGGTGAAGTCTAACCTTTGGTAACTCCTCCACCTTCTTCACTGATCAAACGTGTGCTTCCATTGTGTACCCTTGGGTGTGGACCAGTCAAAGGACAGATTATTTACAAGCAAATCTCAGATGGATGCTTTTCTGTTGACAGTGGGTACTTTTTGAAAACATGAAATTTTTACCCTTTAGAAGTGTCTCAGTTTTGTAAAAACCTGGCAGTCTTGAGGTCACAACCAGGTGGGATTTTTGTAGCAGGTGCTTCCCCTGAGCCCCATGGCTATTCTTCTGACCTAACAAAGAGTGACCACAGTTAGGAATATGCTAACCACTGGGCCCACTGTCCATAATGGTCCCAGATGACATAGTTTGACGAGTGCCAGCCATAAATGCCTGACGACTATGAATATGAGTCTCCACTTTTTTAATCTTGCCTCTTCCTTACCTTAATTACCGTGTTTTATCTTTATTCTCATGAAGAAGATTCCAAAGCAAACAGTTACCACATTAGGATTTTTGGGAAGGCTGTGGTTGAAGACAGTTCTACCCATCAAAGAGGAAGAAGAAAAAGGAATCCATTTATTACAAAATGACTGCAGGGGGAGAAGTCACTCATCCCTCATTATTGACGCATTCCACACAATCAGTATGATCTTGAGGGAAGAACGTTTGAGCCACCCACAATCCTGAATATTCTTATTGGGTAGATAGAATAATAATGCATTTCACATTGAACTCTGCCAACACCACGGGCAGTGAAGAAGAGACCCCATCTTAGGGCTGTCATTCCTGGCTCTGGGAGAGCCCCTCTCCCTCCCTAGTCCTCCCAGCAGGGAGAGGTTAAGCCTGGCCATTAACCCATAGGTGACCCAAATAGAATTTTCTGGCCCAGGAAATCCGTTGATTGCCAGGTATGGCTTTGTGGTAATTCTAGCATCTGCAACCCAGCAATTTGAACCTTCTGTCTGCTTAAACGATGATTTTTACATTGTAATGGTTGTATTAAATCCTTTCTCTTTTGCTCCATAGCCGCTGTTGTGACAAGAAAAGCTGTGGGAACCGAAATGAAACTCCCTCAGATCCAGTGATAATTGACAGGTAGGGACCACTCTTCTTTCACTGATTTCTTATTGCTCATTATAATGAAACACCTGCCTTGTGTCGCTCATGGCTGAGGGTTAGGAGGGCATGTGGCCGAAATGTGCCTGTTGGTCAGACTTACACCATGCGAATGACTGTGATTCCTGGGAAAGCCATATGGAATGTTCTTTGGAGGCCCGTTTCTTGGATCGCTCTGGTTTTGTGTCTGATTCATGCTGCTAAAGGAATATATGGGTTTTTTTCATTCCTGACTTGCTGTGGCTCAATCTTCATGCTGTGCCAGGAAGCTTCAGAAATAAAATAATAATAGTTTGTGATTTATGAAATGTGGTTGGGTGCTTATAAATATTTAACTTTTATTTGAAAAATGTTTGAATCATTATCACTTTTAGCTACAGTAGTTCTGTTGGACGTAATCCATCTACATTTTAAGGTTTTATTTATGCATAAAAGCAGTTTAAAGAGATCTGTGAACCAAGATTCTCTACTGTTATTTCCCGGGTTTGATTGCAGCTCACACTGTATTGTAAGTTGATTAATTTATCCTGCTTGTCTTAATTATTGTGTTTTTAAACAGATTCATACCACTAATCTGACATGACCAAGTAAATCACTGTAGAACGATAAATCTGTTTTACTTGTTCGTGCAATGTTGAGTCAGTGCGTGCACACATTATACAAAGTCGCATTCCAAATATTCAGTTTGCATTTTAATTATTGAAATTCATTGTATGGAAACATGTATGATAAGCCATTTGTTACATAGCATTACTCATTGAGTTAAATGGCCGGGAAGCTTTATAGATACTGTCGGTTGCCAGCTAGGAAAGAGCTAGCTAGCACCTTCTATTTGCTGGAAAGAGTCTTACAAACAGGATGGATTTCTGTATTGAAGATCTCAACAAACAAACAAAAGTCCTTTTCTGGGTTTTGGTAATACCAATTTTGACAACAGAATGAAACAAACAAAGGCTCTTGTGTTTTTCAAATTCTTCACCTGTTTTCAACTTGATTTATAATTTTTCAGCTTAAAAAGGCAAGGTGTTTACTTCATCATAGTTTATGTAAGAGATTGTTGATTTTGATCTCTGTGATTTTTTTCAGGCTTTAACCCAATATTGATTGCAAAGTAGCTTTTGAAAAGTTACATTTCAATTGAATATTTTAATTAAATATCTCTCGCTAATATTCACTAAAATGTACTGTTACTTGCTATATTCATAACAAATGACTCAAAGTTAAAAAGATATGAAAGTTTAATGCAAGTCACATTGTGTGCTGTCTGTAGAACTAGGATAGCATGTTTACCTGCAAAAGCAGAGATGCCATTCTTAAAATTGTTTTTATGCCATGGAAGGCAAGTCTCCAATGAACAAAGTCAAAAATAAATATAGCTTTTATGCTGTTTGTTCCATTTAGACATACTTTGTCAAAATTTCAATTCTTATTTTAAGCAAGTTTTTCATATTTTTTTATTAAAAAGAAAGCATTTTGATCAAAGGTCCAGCCCAAATAGTCCCTAAACCTTGCAACTAAAAGCATTTTGTTCTGTCACGCAGTTCCTTTTGGTTCAAATGATCACAAGGACCTTACCTTGCCGTCCGCAACGAAAACACTTTTTTGCTTGTGAATGGGTTAAGCTTTTAAGTTCTTCGTTTGGTTTTTAGCTGTGACTCTGATATAGAAGGTTGATATGACTGTGGTTTGAATAACATTTGATTTTGACCTGTTTCTGTGGGTTGCGATGGCAGAAGAAACTTGACTAAGCCGCGCTGTAATGAGCCCAGGCAGTGTTTTTGAAATAGGATTGTGTTACCTGGCTTGCATTTAGTGAGGTTTCTATTGTTCCTGCCTTGCATCTGTCCCAGTAGGTACTTAAAACCTTTTCTTGGCTTGGGTAGTTCAAACAGTTTAGGCAAAATAAGAATGCACTTTATACTGTTGGTGGCTTTAGAGATATTATTCATGACATTTATCCTTTTTCCCCCCCTTTGGTTGGACAAAGTAGAAAACTCTGTGTAACTAATCTTGGTTTCTTAAGATAGGAGCCTTTTAAATATGGCTGAAACAGCCATATTTCACATATGTTTATTGGATTGCCTTATGTCACATGAAGTATCATTTCATGAGGTGGTACCAGTTGATATGCAAAACTCCATTTAGCTGTTTGTATTTGCATCTGAGGTGTCAGAATTTTTTTGTCCTACAGTCTGCCAAGGTTTTAAAACTCTAGTCCTGTCCTGATACATGGAACTTCCATTTTTTAGCAGCACGAGAAGAAAATAACAAGAAAAGAACTTATTCAAAGAAAGGCAAAATAGAAAAGATTTTTCAATTTCATAAACCTGCTGCAGAGGGGGAAAAAAGATGGGAACCGTGTTTGGATTTCATAGTTTCCAATTTCATTCTATGTTAGGGATTGCGTAAGATAGGTTACAGGCTGAGTTTGCTCTCAAATTTATAATGTAAATCCCCGAATATTTTGTAAAATAGACTACGAAGTCTTCATTTAGTAGCAATAGAAACTGATTTTACAAGGTGCATACAATGTGCAATTATAGAGCTGAGGTTACAGGCAACTGTTGAATTGGGATTTACCATAGTCTTCACATGAAGTCACCTTTCGGGCACCAGTAACTTTTAGCTCCCTTGCCTTGTCCTTCGGAATTTGGAAGAACATTGCTATTTTTATCAGTCAAAAGACTTTTAGCAGTGGTTATTCAGGAAAACTATTTATAGTACAGATGGAAGAAGACTTTCTGGTCATATGGCAATGGTGTAGGGCAAGCTATTTCTGTGTTAAGTTTGGGCTGTGTTATTTGCTGCCAGTAATTTGGGGACATCAGCTTGGCACAGTCTATGAAAATAGAATTAACAAAATCAGCAGTCACACACTGCCACTTAGAAAAATGAGTTTGTGCTTCCTTCTTGTGGCACACAACAAAGTAAGAAAATACCGCCTAAATTCTTGAGTTTTTTTTCCACAATCATGACAGTTTGTCAAGTCACTTCCAAAAAGTTTATAGGAAAATTGCTGTAAATGTGGGGTACCTCTGGGGTAGACTGCTAGATTACATGTCTGATGCCAAATAGCTTGATTAAGAATCACAAAATCCAGCCTGTGCCCAATGATTCAGATATTTGGGTCATGCAGACCTGGGAAAGGTCAAATGTGTAATGTTTAATAACTGATGACTAGGAACTAATAACAGCAAATTTCATTATCATTGAGGTAAAGGTATGGTAATTATTGTTAAAGTAAAATGCAAGAAAAATGACTTCCAGTTATGGAATTAGAGTGGAGATTGATTTAACATATTCACACACTAACTCATATTTGAATTTAAAAGGTTTGCAATAAAATTTGCTTTTAAAATTGAATAAATGGTAGTTTTATTACTACATTGGATATCCTTGTGTCCTAACCTTTTTCCTCAGAGTTATCTTAGTTCAATAAATAAAACCTCATTAGACTATTCCCATTTCAACGAGTTTATTAAATTTTGCAGGAGTAATTAGCATAAACTGTGCTAATTTTTCTGGAAGACTAATGAGGGAGGTTCTTAATTAGGTTTACTTTATAGGAATCAGAAAAGATGATAATGACAAAAGTCACATAGGGTAGTCTGAATTGGGAACCCAGTTTTTCTGAATCCATAAAAAAAGTCCTCTGTTTTCTATATGGAAAGTTCTTCTTAGAAACGATTGAACTGTACGAAGAGTGTCCTCGCTTGTTTTGCTTCACAAAGCTCTTTGTTTTCCTATACTTTCTTTGGATGATGACATGAATGCTGACGGTTTCACAAAAACATTTCTTTTTCTAGATTGTACTAGAGAGTTCCTTTCACGCAGAACCCTGATGTTTCTGGCTAGAAGAGGTGGGCTAGGGCTAGCTCTATTTGTTTGTTCTATTTGTTTGTTGTTTTGATTTAGCATTGGTGTGATTGATGAAATAGTTAGATCAGTAATAAGAGCCCAAGTTTTCAGTTCTTTGTACTGTGGATCTTTAGCTGTTAACAAGTAGAATTTTTTTTCCCCAATGGATAGAAACAATAAAGGATGAAACTCCTTTCCAAGTTATGGCTTCTGATCTCCTGTGAATTAGGACCTAGTCCCTTAAGAATATAACATGGCTCAGGTAACTTGCAAGTTTTGGGTTCTTCAAAGCAAAAAATTCGTTTAAGTACGGATTTTTAAAGTCTGTCAACTATTATCCCTCTATCAGTTTGGAGATTACTTACTGCAATAGATTTGCTTTGTCTGTCTTTTCCATTTATAAAAATTCCTGTATCTGTGTTTAGAGGCAGGGGATGTAGGTTGTGACTTGCGACATTAAAAAGGTACACGAATTGCGTAACATGAAAACTCTAGGCTATTTGGAATTACTCAGGCCATGCTTACCCAAGGCTGTCCTAAAAGGAGAAGAGAAAAAAAAAATGAACCTATATGTATTTTTTTTTTCCAGAATTGTCTAGTGATCTTCTACATCTAGGTCACATTTATTTAGGTAACACTAATTGGGTTTGTGTTAGTATTATTGTCTAAAATAGAATGTTCAGTAAGGACATTAGAGCACTCATTTTACCTGTTGAATTTGCATGGTATATAGAATTTACTAGAAAACCTTAAATGTGTTAGGATTAGTCAGAAACTTTTATTAAAGACCATTTTTTCATCTAAGTGGTAGAAATCTTATGCTAAGACATTTTGGAAAAGGGCATTGTTAACTTATTACCAAGCTAATTTTCTTGACTAAATTGACTCCAAAGTGTTTATATAGCCACATATATGTCCATCTTTACAATAGGAAAATAACAGAAAAACTTTAAGCTTATGACACACATATCCATTTTTTGTCACTGGGCGGGAGTGGGTATATATTCCCCTAAGATTGGGAAGGTATTTGGACTCTTCAGCCTTCTGTCTTTTATCATCAGCTGTAAATCCCAACATTCACTAAAATGTGTTTTTGTTGTTGTTGTTGTCTTCCATAAAAATAAAGTTCTTAAGGAAGACGAACATGAGGATAGACGTTTATTAGTGCTGCAAATGAAGCTTTTAGTCAGGGTTTCATGACTTCATTTCTTTGCCCTTTTCAATCCTTTTTATTTTGGTCTTTATCCAGTGTTTGGAAGGAGCTGCCACCAAGCGTAATCATTTCTGCACAATACACAAACAGCTGTCTGGGTCACAAGGAAGCAGAGGTGTAAATGCATTCCTCAGAGCTCTGATAAACCTTTTATACCACCTGATTTCCTAACCTTGACTGCTCGGTTAAAATAAAAGGAAGAGGAATTCACTCTTTAAAATTGCCCCAGGCAGGATAATTGCTGTCCTTTTGACTGCTTTGAGAGGTTTGCAGTTTTTCAAAAGTGGAGAGCCGGCATCAACATGGAGCATGAATTTACAGTTGTTTATTAATCCTAGTGTGTTTAAACATTTGTTTTCTCAGTGGGAATTCATATGTGCTTATTAGCAATGAGACTTATGTGAGCGAGTAGCATTCGAAATTTTACCACATATCAGGTAATACCCCTCTGAATGAGGTGAGCCCTGTCCCCTTGTGTGCAGTTTGCTACTGTGATAAGAAAATAACTAATACAATAAGCTAATAGCAGGCTATATTCCATTTGCTATCAGCTCTTCTCAAATACGCAACAGGGTACTTAAAATGCATTTCAGATATGCTGACAAGATATCATATGCAAAGGTCTTTCCCATGGAATAGTCTACTGCAGACACTGTATAATGAGCAGAAGTGGTTTCCTGTAAAGGAAACGAAAGGCAGCAACTTCCAAGAAATGTGTTTAACGGAGCGTCAGAGAATCAGTGGTGTGTACATGTAACGTGGGCCTGGGGTGGGTTTTTATCCCATGTCATCGTCATGTTGCTCTTGTGACAGTTCTAGAAAAATACAGAAACGCAGTACAAAGTCTCCTGGTGTCTTATTAGCAACTTTTCATGGTTAGTGTGTGATAATAAATATCACCGTATAAAATACTCTTTTACTGTTCGAAATGAAGAGTTAAATGTTAGAGTTAAAAACAAGACAAAACCCTTCCCAAGTGCAATTCTCTATTGATAAAAATTTTC